CTTCTTCCTTCCTTTCCCCTCCTTACTTCTTTTTCTCCTTCCTTCCTTCCTCTCTGCCCCCTTCTTTCTTGCCCCCTCTCTCCCTTCTTCTCCTTCCTTCTCCTTCCTTTCTTCCTCCCTCCCTCCCACTCCTCCCTCCCTCTCCTTCCTTGCTTCCTCTCCTCCCCCTTCCTTCCTCCTTTCCTTCCCCCATCCCTCCCTTCTCTTCTTCCTCCCTCTCTTCCTCTCCTTCCTTGATTCCCGTTCTGCCTCCCTTCGTTTTTCCTTCTTTTCCTCTCTTTTAAAGAAAAAAACAATGCTGAACAATCCGCGAGAAGCAAAATATCACTTCCCCTCCTTTTAATGCACCAACCAGATATTTTAATTCTGTACATTCCTCTGCTCTTTTCTTTTTCTTTTTCTCTTCTGCGCTCTAGTTTTATAAACCCTCGTCTACGTTTTGCAGGATAAGAAAAACTTTCTCCTTGCCCTTTTGTTCTTTAAAGGGTTGTCACCTTTTTCTTTGGGGTGTTCTTGATGTTACTTTTGGGGGAGCAGGATCACTTTTCCCTCTGGCTTCCTGACATTCAAACAGTCCCCCAATTCCTGATCTGAGTGTCCACAGGATGAAACCGTTGCTTTAATGAATTGGGGCGGGGAGCAGCCAGCCTCAAATAAATGTCAATTGTTTGCACCATGACAAGGGGAAAACATTTCTAATCTCATTAATTGCTGGATGTCCACTTTATTACGGGAACATTTGTGTGTCCATTAACCAGAATGGCTGCCTTGGCAGACATTTCTGCATCCCCCAGGAGGCATAAACAGATGATTAATTCTGCTTTCCCAAAGGTTATAAACCATGATAAGTTGTTGAACGCTTCAATAGGCTGACATAAAGGCTTCACATTAACTTAGTCTAACTTCCTTGGTTTAATAGGTGCCAGGAAATGGACAGTGTGTTCTTCATATTTATTTTTTAATTTGACGCTCGGCAGACTTCAGGTAATCCTCTACCTACAACCACAATTGAGCCCCAAATTTTCTGTTGCTGAGCAAGACAGTTGCCTCCATTTTACAACCTTTCTTGCTGCAGTTGCTATAGGAATCACTGCAGTTGTTAAGTGAGTAACGTGGTTATTAAGCGAATCTGGATTTCCATCACTGATTTTGCCTGTCAGACGGTCGCAAGCAGAGATCGCGTGACCCCAGGACGCTCCAACCGCCATAAACACGAATCAGTTGCCAAAGGTCTGAATTTTGATCACGTGACCAAAATCTGGCTAGCCATATAGAAGCAAAAATCTTGGTTAGGTCCCTTCCTAAGTCTCTTAAATTGACTTCCGGCATTTAAGACTTTTCCAGATTTCCAGGAATCTGATAAGGAAACCATCCTAGTAGTTCATAATCCCTAATTAAGTCATTCCCTAATGACAATGTCAGAAATTTCCCTTCCATCAAATAGTTCAAAAGCAACTTTCATGTAGGTGTCAAATGTCATTGGGACTCATAAGTACCTGGAAAGGGGTTAGTTTGAATGGTCCACACCTTTTACTGTTACCAGAAGCGTCAGAGATGGCTGAAACGATTAATAGCCAATTCTGACTCCTTTAGAGGGTTTTGATAAGAGGATACACCTTGAATTTGGGATGCAGAGGCTAAGACGCTGAGTTTGTTGATCAGAAAGGTCAGCAATTCAAATCCCTAGTGCTGCATAACGGAGTGAGCTCCTGTAACTTGTCCCAGCTTCTGCCAACCTAGCAGTTTGAAAGGACGTAAAAGATGCAAGTAGAAAAACAGGGACCACCTTTGGTGGGAAGGGAACAGCGTTCCGTGCGGCTTCGGCGTTTAGTCATGCTGGCCACATGACCACGGAGACATCTTCGGACAGCGCTGGCTCTTCGGCTTCTTTGACTTTGGAACCAGAAATTCCAGACATATTTTTTAATGATTGAAAGAGCAGCACAGCTGTCTCCAACATACAGTGGGTCAACTTAAGACTTCAACAGAAGACCTGCAGGAAGGCATGGGGGACAACAGAGAAAAGTTGGACCATCCCAACACAACGATCCATAGAGCCAGAGAACAAATCTTTGGGAGAGATACATTGAAGAACTCCACAGATTTAGATTTTAGATTTAGATTTTAG